GCCCGTGTTTGTCCACCCGCCTGGGGAAGGGTGGCATCAGTAGGCACCGATACGGGAGCAGAACTGTGCTTAAAGGGGAGGGCTGAAGTGTGGCCTCAGCAGAGCACCGAAAGCACCCGCCCTCCTCGGGGAGTGCTCCCTGGCCGCTCGCCCAGTGCTCGTACTCAGCCCCACTTCAGCACCCTCCACAATGCCTCTCTCCAGAGGCCTCTCTCCCGTCATTACCATGGTGAACTTCATTTTTAGATGATGTTGGACAAGGGAATGAGTTCAAGAACACAGAGAGTCCCCCACAAAAGATCGAAACTCCCCGAAGGACACGGAAGAGGCTTGTTTTCCTAACTGTCATGTCTCTCTGGCTGTCCCTCCTGCCTTGTAAAATCTTCAGATTTTATACCCAGTCCTATCATCTTCTGGCATGGACTTTGCCTGCAGACACACCCCATTCTTTAGTAGCTGGTGGGGGTGGACAAGACAGAGCACTACAGCAGGGCCGTGGGCCGGGCAGGGCTGTGGGCCCGGGCAGGGCTGTGGGCCGGGCTGCACGCAGCAGGCAGGCGGCAGGTGTTTCTGCGGGAAGAAACACACCCTCTTCATGCGGACTGAGCAGGCAGGTGGCAGAATTAGCAGTACAGTGGTCACTGCCACTCCCGAGCAGGACCCTTAAGACATCCCCCATTCTCCTGCTTCTCTGACCCTAGACCAACAGGGGTACCCGTGTGGGGCAAGGAAGGGAGCGACCTTCTTTTCCCTCCATTCTGCTTTTCCCGAGCTCCAGGAACTTCCTGCATTCCTAGGCTGCAACGCGAACACTGGTAACAGCAGCCTCTGGGAAGCATGCAGCGTTCATCACAGGCCAGGCAGTTACAACAGCCCGTGAAGTCCATACTCTTGGCATCCCTTGATTTTCAGATTAAAGCTAAGTAGCCATGCATGGTGGCTTATACCTGTAATCACAATATTCAGGAGGCCAAGGCAGGAGGATTGCCATGAGTCTGAGGCCAACCGGAGTTACCCAGTGAATTCCAGACCACCCTGAAGTGCAAAGTAAGATCCCGTCTACACACACACACACACACACACACACACACACACACACACACACACACACGTAAAGAGAGAGGGGAGGGGGAGAGAGTCTTTAAAGCCACTTGGCAGGGAAGGGTGTATGGCAGAGGTAGGGAAGGAGGACACATCTTTGAGTTTGAATTGAGAGGAGTTAAGAATAGGACTTTGGAGGTGAGAAAGGGGAAATAGAGACCTCAGGGTGACAGGTCAAGGCAGGACTTACCCAACACTGGAACAAGAGTGTGCTTCGGTGCCCCTTGGAAAATGGGGGTGGGGAGTCTCCGTCTGTCAGCCAGTGGAGGAGCCACAGATGCCAAGGAGCAGAGAGGGCCTCGTTAGCAGGAGCTGTCCATGGTGTCAGGGAAGCCTGGTGTCCCCCATCCGACCTTCCTCAGCGTTGCCTCCCTACTTAGCCCAGGCTCCCTGTGCCACTCAGGCCAGAGATGGCTGCTCAGCACAAAGTCCAGAGCTGTTCCTGCTGAGGGTGTGGCTCCCTTAACCCTTCACAAACCCATGACGCGCAGCCTCCCTGCATTTAGGGAAAGGATCTCTGCCTGGCTTTTGCTGAGGGGCTCCAATAGAGAGGAGTTCATGCCCCACTATTGCAAGAATTTGGAAATAAGGGCAAAAGAAACAGAATTTGTAGCCAAGGAAAAGATCCCCCCCCCAAAAAAAAAAGGATTGGGAATTTTGCCATGGATGGAAGCAGGCTGAGGGTAGGGATCTTCCTAGCAGAGAAACAGTATCTCCCTTAAACCTACCTTCCTATCTTCCTGGGAGACCCAGAGTTCTCAGATTACCTGGGCCAGTGACAAAATTCCAAATCCTGTCCATTTCCCTTCCCCTGAGTGAGACCTCATTATAGAGACCCACAGATTAAAAGCAGAGCTGTGACTCCTTACATTTCATGGACCTATACCACCCACATCATGAACGAGTAGCCCACCCTTTGAGGCAGGCAGTGCAGATAATTCATTTTGTGGGGAAATGGAGGCAGACACCATGCTCACATGTGACACCCCAGTTCTACAGCTAGCGCATCAGGAACCAGGAACAGGACACACTTCCCAATCTTGTCTACCGAAGAATGCAGCCTCAGTTCTGAGGTTTCTGTCTTAATCATTTCTCAGCAGTAAGATAGCAAGTGAGATCCCGAGATGCTGTTTCCTGGGCATTAGTCCAGCAGATGGCGGCTCCCCAGACAGGTAAAAGCTTATAAAATCCAATTTCCCAACATGCCTTCACCCATCCAGGTAAATTCCTAAACAGCCTGCCCCTCTGCCCACTCTCTTCTCTCGGAGACATGCACAAAGAGAAAATTAGGTGATTTTATCACTTAACTAACATGGAGACCTGGTTTTCTAACTCTCAGCTTTTGCTGCTTGGTTCAAGGTCCGAGCTCTATTGCTCCAGCAGGAGCACTCTGCATAAACCTGGTACATCAGCAGTTCCGTTTTCAACCTGCCCATACATAATTTATTGATTTACTACATCTATTTGAAGGGAGGGAAGCAAGGTAGGGAGAAAGCTGAGCAGACGTGGTATCAAAACATAATCCCCTATGATGGGGGGCGGGGCCCTGTGATTGTGTCAGAGCCAGGGTGACTACTGATCCCACAGATCTAGAGTAAGAAACACTTTCCCAGGACCACACCACTGCAAACCTCCACAGCTGGGACTGGAGCCTGGGGCCTTAGGTTCTCACAGCTAGGGGTCCGTAGCCACTGAGGGTTTGTCTCCTCCACCCACTCACTCATGTATGTGCCTACTGCATGATTTAAAACAAGAGGGCACTTTGGTTTTAAAACAGTAACACTTAACATTACAGCTCCTGCTACCAACCATGCTGGCCTGCCTGGGGCCCCCAGTGGACTCCTACATAGCTGTAAGTGTAAATCTACGAGCTAAAGTGAGGGAAGTCCATGACGGAATGCTGGCACACTTTTAATCCCGGCACTGGGAAGGCAGAGGCAGGTTTGAAGCCAGACTGGTCTACATAGGGAGTTCCAGGCCAGCCAGCAGCATAGTGAGACCCTGTCCTTCACCCTACCCAAGAACCAGGGAAGACCTGGGGGAAATGGGGAGTGGGGCACTCTCAAGTGTACAACATATAAACACACACCCGAGTCAGCTGGGATCTCAGCATCTGCCATGCTGAAGTGGGGTGGGCTGGGACAGCACTGCCATCTGCTTTCCAACTGACTTCTCATCACCTTCCTTTGTCCCTATCTACACCAGGGATGAGGCATGGCTCAGTGGGAGCCTGTGGCTGGCAGAGTTCGAGATGACCCAACCTGAGAAAGGGAACAAGCGTGTTCCATACAGTGAACATAGAGGACCCTGTGGGATGTGGAAATGGTTCATCATCAACTGTAGTGATTATACACATGACTGCCAAAACTCGGTCCAACTATACAGTAAACGTAGATTTTACTGCTTATGTAACTTACACTCTCAAGAAGCGGACAAAAAGACAATGAGGAATTCCAGTCCTGACAGCTGACCACCATTTGAGCACACTGACTCACTCAACAAGCCTCCCAGCCATGACTTCTTACAAGATGCTAGGCGTGGTGGCTCATGCCTTTGATCCCAGCACTCCTGAGACAGGAAAATAAAGGAGTTCAAGGCCACCTGGGCCTCATGAGACACTGTCTCAACATGCCCCCCGCCCACGCCCCCCAGGCTCCAAGACAGCAAACCAATACCCAGGACAGTGAGATGTGGTTATGAAAAAGGGAAACACATAGTATCTGAAAGTATGAGACTCACACAAAAATAAATGTTCATTAACAGAGACTCAGTGGGTAAGAGCACTTGCTGCCAAGCCTGATGACCTGAGTTTGATCTGTAGTGGGTAGCCAAATGCTGTCCTTTCTGGACAAGCAGGACACAAGGAAAGCGACCACTGTACTCTGCCAAGACAGGGTAACATGGTCTTTCAGAATTCCTGCTTCTAAAAATGGTCTGTCAGATACTCTAGGCCTGTAGCCAATTTGAATGCACCAACAATGCTGAGAAACATTAGGTGACTGTCCAGGCTGCCAGCTGTCTCTGTCTACTCTTGCAAGATTCCCAAAAGTTGCTTGCATCCATCTTCTATTTCTCAGGTACCATTATATTCCTTCTCAGGTCTTTGATGGGATTAAAGACTAGCAGTTATAGTTACAACTTAGTATATATTAGATTCAGGTTCTTTAGGATAGGACACCTTTTAAAATGATCTTTGTAACATACAACTTAGTATATATTAGATTCAGGTTCTTTAGGATAGGACACCTTTTAAAATGATCTTTGTAACATACCATTTACCTATGCTCTATACTTCTTTAGATTTTAGTATGTGTTTCTTGCTTGATATTGTTCGCATTGATTGTAGTTCCATCTTATCTAGGTCATTATCCCTCATTATTCCTGGACAATATTTGATGACCATTCCTTTGTATATAGTCTTGTATTAGGTTAGAACTTTCTTCTTTAGACAAAAGGGGAAGATGTAGTGGGCAGCCATTCCAGCTTTGATCTGGAAGTTCCAACCCCCACTGAGGCTTTGGTAACTGTCACGCCTACAAGGCGGGGCCAAGAGAGGGCCCTGAAGACCCGAGATCCGGATGCACCGGCTCTCTTGGTTCCTGGACCCTGGACACTAAAAGTAGACCAAGCAAAGTTCTCCAGAGAATGGGACTGCGCTACACCCTGCAACCCACCTATCCCTTCATTTGTAAGTACGCCACTAAATAAACCTCCCTTTTAACTACGTGGAGTGGCCTTAATAATCACACCAATATTGACCCCTGGAACTCACATGGTGGGAAGAGAGACACTCACACAAGTTGTCCTCTGATGCCCACGTGTCCAGCATGAGCACACTCACACACACATTAATATACACAAGCCAACTATTGAGTATTTTAATTTTAAAAAGACTACTATACAGCATATAAAACTTTATTAAAATTGGGATAATTTACAAGCCATATAATAATAAAAATAATAAAAATACACAGCATCACTTTTTCTTACAGAAAGGTAGGGGGAAGTAAGACCCATGGCAAACGCCATCCCTGATAATTTTGTTCTTCCTGAACATTCTTTAACATTTATGAAGTATAAATGACAAATATTTTATCTAAATAACACTAAGGCATTACCCACAGGCTAAAACTTACCTAGTAGTTTCTTGGCCTTGTTATTTCAGTATCAATTCCATAGACATGAAAACTGTGGCCACTGTGGGTTTAACAGGCTTTGAGGGTCACATGGGGGCAATCTGTCACACAGTGATGCCCATGCCGCCCAGAAGTTCAAAGCCAACTGGTTTCACCATTTTCAAGTTATTGTCAAGAGTATGAAAGAGGAAGCTGGACATGGTGGCTCATGCCTATAATCCCAGCAATCAAGACCAAGGCAGGGCTGCCATGAGTTCCAGGCTACAGAGTGAGTTCCTGGGCTACAGAGGGGCACCCTGTCTAAATAATAAAGCGTGTCAAAGGAAGGAAGACGACACACGTGGGATGTGATGGGTCCAAAGCCTCATGGGTGAGTCTGGGACCACACCTGACCCTGCTGAGGCTACAGGGCTAACACTGGTGTTTGTATGCTTTGCTTATTCACAGGGTTCTACGTCCTGCCATGTAAGGCACCAAACAGTCTCTATTTTGAGATGGGGGTCTCCTTTGCTGCTCCTACTAACTTAAAATGTCCAGACTTAACTGATCCTCTCACCTCACCCTTCCAAGTTCAAGTATACACTACCATGCCAGACTTCCAAACCACCTTTTCAAGACAGTAACCATCCTGACTCCAACAGCCAACAGTATCCATAGTTAAGTCACTAAGATACCACTGGGTAACCACAATTGTTTAAGTTCCCCCAAAAGAAATCATTTCTGCTACATGGAAGGCTTAGGCCAAGTTGTCACGTGCAACTGCTACTTCGTGTATTTATCCCTTGCTGTCAGTGCCTCGCTAATGTGAGAGCTCAGTAAATCTGCCCCACTGTCCTTCCTGTGTTCAGATAAAATTCTCCGTTCAGATGCAGACGATTGTCTCCTATACTGGACCTGAGTCCAGAGGAATACTAGAAGGGGTCTATCTTCTGCCCTCCTACTTCAACTCTCATGAGGACACCGCTAGGGACCACTTTAACACAGACATCCATCTCAGCTCATCTTTTTTTTCTGGAACAAAGATTGAGGGCAATTACATAACTCACTCCCAAACCCCTCATGGGTATCAAGGCCTCGGGGGTTCTCTGGCCTATTTGGGTCCTTTCATTCCTCAAACCTCTGTCACCTATGCCAAGTGGGGTAGGCTAAAGGAACACAACTGATTAATAAGGGTTGTGCCCTAGGATAGGATGTGCTATGATAAAACAGAACAGTGGGACCCCAAGAGCCATCACCAGCAGAACCACCACTGTTGATAAAACAAGAAAGCGGGTGGGAGAAACCAGCTCCTCCTATTTCAAGGTAACAAAGTGATCCAAGTTGCTAAATGGTTTTGGCTTTGGTCATTATGTTCTAATGAGGAAAGGGACCCTATAAACTCTTCGGCCAACTGCCTCTTATGTTCTCATTAATGGCAGCCATGTTCTATAAGCTCGGGTCAGACCCATTAGAAGCAATAGATTTCCAATGACGAGACCCTGAGCCCTGGAACCAACTTATGGCCTGACAGCCGCTGAGCGCAGACGCTGACAGGTGCAGACACGGCTCCAGTGCCCAGCCCGCCCAGCCCTCCCAGCCCTCCCTCCAACCCTGATGAGATCCGCCAGACAGACACACAGGCAGGCAGGGCACACACACACAAGGGCACACAGCACACAGAAGCGGCATGCCCTTCACTGAGAACAGCTCTCACACCACTCAGTTCCCCAACCCCAGACTCAGGGTAAGAAAGTGAGCTGGGTTTGCTCACCCCAAATTCAAATACAGTTCAAGAGACAAATGGCCTTGACATGAAATCCATATTTCACTGGGAGTTCACCACACAGAAGAGCAAAGTCATTCACAGTGATTTCTCATTAAAATAAACATCTAAGTCAGAAGTCCCCTCCCCTTTGGCAAGCTGCCATCCTCAGGGAGTGATGTGGGAAAGGCACCAAGGGCTTCCAGGACCTAACGCCACGTGTACAGTTGAACTGGTTTTTACACTAAAATATACTGGGTATCAACTTCTATAAAGGATGTTCCAAACAGTGTGTTTTAGAGGCTTTTGTTGTTAGCAATGGGTTTTGTTTTTGTGACGCCAGGAACTGAACCCCAACCTTGTGCCTGCTAGACAAGCATGGACTGCCTCTGAGCTTCATGCCCACCTTTTCAGAAGCTGTGATGGTTCTCTGAAAAGGGACAGATTTCTACCATATTCCCAATTCACAAAGACATCTTGTACTCTGCAGCTCTAACCCACAGCACCTGCCCAGATACTGCTCACTCTCCGTCTCTCCTGTTTCCCTTTCTACCAGCTGAGGTAGTTGTCACGTTAGGACAATTTAAGGCTATGGGGAACAATGGTTGAAATAACCCACTGGCCACCTGGAGATGCGACTCAGCCGGCATTTTGGATGCTAGCAGCAGAGCCCAGGGTCTTTCAAAATGAGCAGGTCTGAAGAAACCCTAAGATATTCTTGAAAACACCATCTCCCTTCCCGATGGTCCTAAGACAATGAGTCTGATGCTGTAGACCTGAGTCAGCCCTCCCTTCCCGGCTGGAAGAATCACAAAAGTAAGTCACACGCTTCTTCTAATGTGACGGTGAAGATCACAATGAAAGAACCAAGCAAACGGCAGAAACTTGGGAGTCTGCTCCCTCATAAACGACACCGTTAGCTTTTAAGGGTGTCTGCAATGGCAAGGGATTCTGAACTGTGAATAAGGACAGTCAATTCAGGGAGAACGTGTCTGGTGCTGACCGCTGAACGAGCGTCAGAGGCAGGAAGACAGCCTTAAGGTCTATTATCCGCCATGCAAAGTCCGTCCGGCAGCTACATAACCCAAACTGCATATAAACAATTAACAGATGGTTTCAGGACTCACAAATTACCGATCTAGGAACGTGCAGGCGGTGAGAAGGCTGAACGAACAGAATGGGTCTAGAAGAGGAGACAGGGACAAGGAGGTAGGGTTGGTGTTGTTTTGTTGTGGTGTTAAAAATCTAACCAGGGCCTTGCATCCCCAGCCAGTAAGCGCTCTACCACTGAGCTACATCCCCAGCCCTGGGATAGTTTCTTGATTGTGTAGTAAGTCATCTGTGATCTGATGGAGAAAAAGAGGTAAACAAGACTTCTCTCCCTAGTTATAATGTAGGAACCAAAAGGGATATATAAGGGATATATAAAAAAAATAAGGCAAGAAGGTTGGCATGCCAGATGTGGTGGCACACACTTTCGATCCCAGCACTCGGGAGGCAAAGGCAGGAGGATCTCTCTGAGTTCCAGGCCAGCCTGGTCTCCAGAGTGAGTTCCAGGACAGCCAGGGCTACACAGAGAAACCCTGTCTCGAAAAAAGAAAAAAAAAAAGAAGAAGAAGCTTGGCGTGGCAACACAGGCTTAAGATTCCAGCACTGAGAGGCTTTAATCAAAGGACTGACAACTTCAGACCAGCCTGAGTTATAAGGTGCAAGACCCTGGCCCTGAGAGAAAAACCTCAGAACAAAACGGTCAGAAGGGGAGGAACCTCCATGTTAGGAAGGGGAGGGCGGGAGCAGAGAAGAAGAAACGAGACAGACTCTGAACCTCAGAAACTGCAGATGTTACACACAGAGCTCAGGGGAGCAGCATCACAGAAGGCTGTCGGACGTCTTTCTAAATGTGAAGTAAAACCCAGAAGAGCAGACTCATGAGAATCCCAGGCTCAACACAACAGCTCCGGGGTTTTCATGGAGACCTATACCAATAAACATCTGGGGGTCAGCAGAGTTTGTCACTCTGGAGCACTTATTGGTTCTAAAACATGAATTTGCTGCACTTAAAAAAATAATTTGTTTAAAAAACAAGATAGACAACCATCTATTTTTCCTTAAATCAAGCATTATCCTAAAGATCCACTGAAATAGAAGAAGCAGACAAGTAAAAAATGGCTCAAATTTGTAGATTCTCTTTAGGAGATGCAGTCTCTGATCTGAATGCATTACTGCACTTAATTTCTGAGGTTTGTCACAGTGATGGAATCACCATCATTCAGTGAACTTTCAAACAGGAGCTAGACTATCATGCTGGCTGTGGCCAACCAGTCTCTTCAGGAATAGCAGAGTGGACCAATAGCTCCACTGTCAGAACCAGGCGACTACAGCACTCACTCCTTCCTCCACTCTTTCCTCAGGGATCCCTTGGAGACCACCAAAGCACTGCCGGGGTGACACCCCCAGTCCTCGGCTTTCAGGAGGCGAGCTTCTGCACCCTCAGGACCACACCAGTCTACATGAAAATAACCGATTCCCAACTAAGTCAGGAAGCTGTTCTGGGTGACCACAGCAGGGTACTCTGAGCCTTCCTCCTCTGAGGACAGCTCCTCATCCTGGGCAATTATGCTCCCTAATCCATACTCCTGCTCGTGAACAGAGACTTCATTTGGCGTGAGGTGAAAAGAACCTTCCACAAAGTCAGCGAATCTGCAAAAGAGACGGTTGCTCATTAAGAAGCTGCTTGTCCTTCCCAAATGGCTCTCAAAATAAGAACAGACTGAAAGGCTCAGCATGCCTGCAGTTAAAATGATACTGAATCTAACTGAAATTCATGTTCTTGCTTTGGCAGACATATAGACTGAAGAAATGGGCAGGAAATAAGGCTGGGCTCATAAGCCAACATGCTGGGCATTCTCCTCCTGCTGACAGTGGCTCCCTGTCCTCAGTTACGAAGTGCTAAGGTTCCTTCAGTCACCATAGTCCTGATAAGAGACTGGGACACTACAGTTCTTTGCATTTATGACCCTATAAACTTTATGCTATCGTGATTCCAAATTAAACTTCACATACAACCACTCCCAACCATAGGGGGCCAGGGGGCAACTCAGGACAGCTAGGGCTACATGGACCGTCTCAAAACCCTGAAATACAAAAACTAAGTACAACATCTATGTCAAACTTACAAGGCCCACACTTAAATATAGGACTGAAGTCTTCACATGTTAATGCCTTGGGGAAACAGGAAATAGATTACTTCTAATACATGATGACACAGATAACTTTCTCTTGACTTCTCCTAGGTTAGCAATAATCAAAGGGCAAAATATAACACAGTTATCTAGAAGTATGATCTCTGTTAGAACTCATGGTCATTAACTACCATAAATACCTGGCTTATCAGGTCAAGCATTTACCTTTTTGGAGAGTGAATCCGAGATATGGTCTTCCAGGCAGAGCACTCTGGACTATTACAAAACTCTCGGAGCTCCTGTAAAGCTTTTTGGGTCTCCACCTCTCCTTGTATCCGATACTCTTCTTCTGTCAGGAGGCGAGGGGGGGCAGGCTTTTCTGTCGCTTTACACATCTTTCTGTGCTCACCAAAATAACATCATCAATCAGTAATCAGCAATCCATATCCATCCTTACCTCCACGGTTTCAGAAGACCAAGCACACACCCGACAAGACTAAACACTGGGGGTCATCACCCACCGCTCTTCTATACACATCCTTCATTCTAGCGCACTCCTGACATACAGAACTGAGGAAAAACCAGAGTAGTCAAACTCACTTATTTTCCAATAAATGCCAAACAAAGTATTTATTTTCCGATAAATGGAAAAACAACAACAAATATGTCATAATATGGTTCGCGAACTCTGTTTCTGAAACTAAAGGTTCCACTTTGATGATCTGCAATGGAACAGCCACTGACCACCTCAGAATCAAGGACCATTCCATATTTACTCTTTTTAGAGATAACATGCTATGAATTACATCTTAAAATAAGATTAGGATTTTTGGAGCAATCTGGCAGTCAGTGTGAAAGGATCTGAAACCTGAACCTGAGGCCTAGGGTTAAAAACAAAAACAAAAACACCTATAATTTGCACCACCTAGTGGTAACAGGAACACATGACACTTTAATGGATGCTTTTATTTTTATAAAAAAGAAAGAAAAAATAGACTCAACTAAGAAAGAACAAGAGTGGAAACCCAGCCCAGTGATTTCTCACTTACAAAGAAAAGCTCTATCTCCCTGCGCTGCAAGTGTACCCACACCGCACGTGTCACCACAGAGCGACACTGCCTTTAGTCACCTGTAGGTGATGTACAGCCAGTGAATGGGATACTCCAGGTTCTTGGTACACAGCGCAATGATGACCAGAGCAAAAGCAATGTGTGGTATCTGGATGCTGGAGTACATGAAGCCCAGGCCCAGCAGCTGCAGGGTCCAAGTCAGCAGGTTGATGCTTCTCTCATTCTCCAAGGGCCCGTACTTGTAGCACACTGCAAAACTCATGAATCCAACCGTGAGGACGTAGCCTATCAAAAGAGACAGCAGAAGACATTCTT